CAAAAAGTTATGTCGTTTCCAACAACTTCAATCTACGGCAGCTGGCGCCCTCTATGAACTATAACCAAAATGTGAACAAATTTCAATTCCTCTATCCAAAGAATCCCAAACCCCAAAATTTTGTGTAGATATTTGCATTTATTAAGAAATTAATGGAAATAAACTAAAATAATATTTTACATTTAACACCCTGTATCTCTTTAACTATCAACTTTTGGATTAAGGTAAGTTCGGCTAAATCGCAATATTTTTACTTGGGGAATCTACCCATGAATTTTGGCCCATTACCTCGTGACCACCCTGTATATGCATTTATTAGTTATTTAAAATTATATTATTTATTGTCTTTGTTATTCTTTAAAAACTTTTACGACACAATTAAAAATTAAAGAAAAATTCTATGAAAACCAACCGAAATCATTTCATTAATTGTTCTGTTTCAGTTGCAACATACCATCATAGAAGTACAGATAATAATTTTGATTCACGGTGAATGGATATATACTAAATTCAAAATACCTTCATTAGAATAATTATTTTGCATTTTTTTGTCGAGCAAATACTTGAGACTTGTAGAATACTGAATGACAGTACCAATATTTACCTTTTAAGGCACATTTGATACTTTACCGTAATATTCCTGAAAATTTAAGTAAACCGCAAATATCTGAGAAAATTGAAACTGTAACCCCTACAATGCCTATATCGGTGAAAAGAGAATTTGATTTTCGATAATATGATTCAGAAAAATACGGGGTGTTCCATTTGCATTTAAAAAGTTTTGTCGGTTTTAAGTTTTCAAAATGTAACGTGAAAAATGGGACATTTAGTATAATTTTCTTCAGGTAATTTTGATAAGAGAAGGTAGTGTATCTTATGTCCTTTGCGTCTTCCGAAAAGCAAGTGAAAGCTCCCAGAACGAAGAAAGATATAAGGAATTTTCGAAACGCTTGCATGTATCAAAATTTTTATAAAATGTCGATTATCTCGAAAACTATTAGATTTAGGTCTAGGAAAGCTTTAACAATTTTGACTTATATTTAATTTATCTTGTCGATAGTGCAATAACATAAAGGGTGTTCCATTTAAAATAACGAGATTGACGACATCTACTTCCGGTATAACCGAAAGTGCTACGTTGACGGCATTATTTTCATTAAAGAGAACATATCTGATAACCCCCGTAAACAAAATTTCAGGGTCATATTGTCTTTGGTTCCTCTGAAACGTTTAATAGGCCACTTACCGTGAAGAACCCTGTATAACTACTTCTAAAGAAAAAGTCAAAAAATTAAAATGATATCATAAGCATGGAAAATTGTAGAAATTTCTAATTTTTGATAGGAAGTTTACTACAAAATGAATTACCTAGTTAAGTATATAGAAAATATTTCTTGAAATAAAATATATTTTTGTCGATACCTCAATATTTTTACCTACTTATTAGATATATATTTCGTATTTAATACTTATATATTTCATATAATTTATTTATTTATCTCGCAGCAATTGTGGTTGTTCCTCAAATACATCTTTATTCAAAATATGATAAATGAACGATGCCAAAAACTAATACAAAGTAACAGGAAATTGTACGTAACTTTAAATTTCATTTCAGCACTCAATGAAATAAAGAGGATAACAATTTTTACATATGCTTGTCAGAAACATTGGGTAGCTGCATTGTAAGAAGAAAACAATATATACAATTTTAGAACCCAAAGGATAATCTTAATATGTTATATGGCATGTCGTGACGAATATTTTGTCCTGAGTTTAGATATGTCCTTCTGAAATAAAAACGTAGTATAGAAATTAATGATAATAAGCTCATATGATCATATGAATTCACAATTTTAAGAAAGGGGCAATAAAGCCATATTATGTGACCGTTTCACATTTTTTTAAATAAATTTTTGTTTCATATTATTACTTACAATTTTATTATCCAACACATCTGTAGGTATGAAATTACAGTTATTCAAAATACACATAAATATGTTATATCTTAGGAATAATTTACTATGGGTAGTACATTCCACAATTACAATCCGTCTAAATCTAAATTATATATTTATTAATTAATATCGTCATTGTTATTTTGACACCAGAGACAATATTTTTTATTTTAGAAAAGTTGGAAATGTATACAATAATAATTAAATTATAGTTTTTTTTCCAGATTCACTATTTTGGATTAGAAATGACAAAAAGGTAAGTACCTACCTACCTAAACCCTGATAAAAAAAAATTATTGATAATTGCTAATGGTGGATTCTTAGAAGTCACTTAATGTTTTATAGGACCGTGAAAGTAAAAAAAAATATTAAAAAATCATAGTCATAGTAGACACATATACACACAATATACTAGGGATCTTTAGGTACCCAAATAAAATTTAAAGTTATGTCATATCTAAAAATAAAGCAGCTAGATGAAACTAAAAATTGAATAGTTTTCTTCAACTAGACTTGCTAGTGATTCTTTATAGCTCTGCCAAAATGGACATTGAATAATCTTTGTATTTGTCTACTTATAGTCTAGTTAAGACGTTTGATCTAAGTGACTTATAATAATTTGTAAATTATCTGAAGATAAAATTTATACAGATATACAGATAACTACGGACTAGGTATAATATAACTTAAAATATCTAATTTCAATACCCATACAGATTTATAAGTACATACTTTACTATTCATTATTTTTAACTTAGTTTTTAAATAATTTGTGAGTGACATTTTATAATGTTTAAATATCTAGTAGGTAGGTTCGGCATATGCAAGCTATTTTTTAAGTGGGTATTAAACTAGTAATATTATGCAAATATTTGCCTGTGGAATGCGATTTAATAATCGTAGTTATTGATTAAAATCTTAGAATTCTTAAATAGGAACTTTCTTTTTCAAAAATAAAATCAGATACATAAATTTGAGATTTAATTCCACATTTTATTTAGCACCTTTGTATATTTTTTTCTTTTAACTTTTTTAATTTATAAGTATGTCTCAATTAAAATATCCTAAGAAATTTAATTAATTTTTTATACCTAGTGAAATTCATTATTTATAGTAAAAGATTGAGTCATTTTGAATGTTGTAATAATTTATATCTAAGGTAGATAATCGATGACGTATAATTTTTATAATAACGGTTAAATAAATATGTATCAATATTCATGAGTAGTTTTTTTTTACCTACTTCCCCTGAAACTAAATTTAATACTCATACCTACATATCTCTAACTCTTAAAAATATCTACTACTCCAGTTGCTAAATAAAAATAAATTTATAAAACCAATTTACAGTACCGGATAACAATGGTAATATAAAATAGGCATGTCCCACAAATCTGTCACATTATTTTCCTTTTTATGGTAAAACGATTAACATAATATTAATTAGTATAATGAAGTACTAAAGGCAATAAACGTGTTGTAAAACTTTAATGCTTCTGTTTTCATAAACAAATCAATTTGTTTTATATTTCGGTCGTAAAATTTTTATAGCATTTGGCACGCTTCTGGTGACTTCTTAAATTTTATGGTGTGCGAAGACCATAAGTTTCCCTTTTCTCGTAGGTGACATTTACGATCACTCAAACAGTAACTATCTTACCTCTGCGCATATTGAAATTGCCGAACTTCGGCATTTTTCTATACAAAATACTTGTTTACTCGTGCTATAAGGCTGATTTTAGCAAAACAAAATTTTATAGTACTTTTACGACCGTATAATGGTTACCATAATGACACTTAAGATGTCGGTGAGTTTCTTTGATTTGTTTTATAGCCGAGATCATCACATGAGTAAACACATTTGTAATCTTAATAATATTTAACATGTGTGAAATATGCGCTCATTAAAATTTATATTACCATAATAATTATTATCTACAACTACAAATTTATATCGAAATAATATCAAAATACTTCATACATGCTAAAAGAAGAATCATTGTATTGTTGAAAAATAACTAGAAATCTCCAATAAAGAATTTGTTGTCCATAACAGATGCAAAATGATAAATTAGCAGCACATAATAACAAAAATCTGATAGTTAAATTTTTCTGTAGTTAGAGTTAAAATACATCTCATTTGGGATCCCGAAGGACTTGCGAAAGAACTTTATAGCCATTAGGAACGAGTGTAACTATTTATTTTGAATGAATTTTATCGTTTACGAGTACTTCAAGTAGCAATATACTTTGATGTTACTCGTTTGAACGCTGAAAAGTATCTGGTTTTCAAGTTCAGCACTTAACCGACAGAGGGCATCACCGCCCCATTATGGCCTACACAACGAGAGCAACAGAGTGCGAGCTATGTAAGTGGGGAGGATGGTTTGTGAACTTCAAGCCGTTAGGGGATACATTTTCCTTACGCAACGTAAATGTGGGCGCCAGCACTGTGACGAATGCTATTGCTATTGGTCCATTTACGATCCCTTCCATTATATGGATACATTCATCCTTACTACTTGCAAATATAAAGTGTCTCCCTCACACTCATTAGCAATATTTGGAATAAGAGATTGGCATTATCTTAATTATTTACCTATAATTAAATATAACGTAAGTTGGAAACTTTTTGCTAGAAGTTAAAGGTAGGTTTAGGACAGAACTAAGAGGCTCTGAGGAAAATGTCGTCAATCGAAACCCTTATATTAAAGTTACAGTACGTACTCCAATAAAAATGAAGTACAATTATTCCCGTAACCCTATCGAATTGGGTCCTTGCGGCTCAAAATACAGGTAGCAATAGTGGCAGGTAATAATGAGCTGACTATTATTGCCGCGTGCTGAGTTAGGAGGGGAGAGTGTTGGAGCGAGTGAGAGGCTGTGAAAGGTAAGCGAGAACGCGAATGGGCCGGGATGTGTGGGCCGGAGTCTGCTCCGGAGCTCCAGTGGGTTCCGATCCGCGATCTAACTAGTTAGCGTGTGCATTCCGGACTCGACATCCGCGCGGTGTGCTAGCCTCGTGCTCAAAGTCGTATCACCATTTTTATTGCCCTCTTTATTATTATTACGTCGTAACAATAATCATTCTATTAAGTACTAAATTGTTGTTCCCCCCCACAGTCAGTGACCTTTTCATTACCAATTTAAGGATGATGATGTATATTGCACTTTTATGTGACTCGAGTGTATAATTATAAACAAAAACAAGAAGTGGTTGTGGACTTAGTGACTAATTTTCCTATTTGGTGCTTTTTTCTGTTGGAAGGGACATCCCTCAGTTTTGAGGGATTTGAAATAATTTGCCAAAATTAACGCGACAATAATGAACTCTTACTTCGAACAAAGTGGCTTCTATGGAAGTCACCATCATCAGGGCACAGGCTCTGTGACGGGGGCACACCACCATGACCATCAGACAGCAGCCGCGGCTGCTGCCTACAGATCTTTTCCTCTTAGTCTTGGTATGTCACCATACGCCTCCAGTCAGCATCACCATGCCCATTCCTTACACCAAGCCAGGCCCCCGCAAGATTCCCCATATGATGCGTCGGTGGCAGCGGCTTGCAAATTATATTCTTCGTCTTCAGACGGCCAACAGAATTCAGTAAATTATAGCTCATCAAATACAAAATCAGACTGTTCCAAAGGCAATGCAGACCAAAACGGATATGCCTCCGTGGTAGCTGCAGCCGCTGTTAAGGACGTTTGGCAAAGTGCAACCTCCGGGGGTGGTGCAAACCTTCCAAATAGTTTAGCCGGTCCCGTTCGTCCTGCCGCGTGTACCCCAGACTCACGGGTGGGTTATGGCTCCTCCGTGGGGTTAGTCGGAGGAGACCCATCATCAAGTCCAGGAGCAGCATCGAGCGGAAGAACGGGAAACTCCCTGTCTTCTTGGAACAATCCATGTTCATTGAATTCTTCTTCATCGCAGCCAGTGGGGACCCAAATACATCAACAGTCGAGCCACACGTTTTACCCTTGGATGGCAATTGCAGGTTGGTGGTAAATTACTTAACAATGCGATAATAATAAACTTGTCATTAAGAACATAAATATGCGTGTTTATAAGTAAGGGGCGTTGCAAGAAAAGTTATGCAAATGCTGAACTATAACCCGCGTCAAAGTCAAGTATGTGTAAAATCAGGGTTGAATGTTCCCCAATTGTCTCTATCACACTTTCAGATCAGACCGTACATCGCACTCGCTTTTGCTAACAGAGATTTCGTCGACTGGTCCTTGTCGGACCACGAGGGACGATCAGCTGTTCGAGTAGCCTATTTCAACTCGCTGTTGTCTAGACTGAGCCAGAACTAAATTAGTGTGCTTTATAGGGCACCCGCTTTAAATTTATAAATGCCCAGAAGTAGTAGTTTACTGACCAGGAAACAGTTATCCAATAGACTCCACATAAATCAAGTCTTTTTGAAGTACGGCCGCATGAAACAACACAGCAGTAAATTTAAAAATCCATTCACGAAATTTATTTTTCTCTAATTTTACAAAAAGCTATTGTCGACATGTTGGAATTTAATTGCATGTGCCTAACTATATAATACGCTGATAATTTAATCAAAATTATTGAAATGTTGTCATTTATAATAACGATTTGCAGAACATATTGTATATATCACCCATAAATTTCTGCAAGGCGTTGATAACGATCTGCAATCTAGTAAACATAAATGACAAGCGTAATATAGAGCAAGCCATTAAAAGGGCGCTAATGCCTCATTACTGCTTGGTGCGCCTATCTGCGGAACCGTATTTCATTTTTCTGAATTAAATTCTATTAGTGTGAATCTTTTTATGTTATTAACCAGCCAAATTATTACGCTTCCAAATCTCGCGTATAAAATTAAATGACCTTAATCAATTTTATGTGTCACTGACTCAACAAAAAATTTGAATCACTAGCAGGTTACTATTTTAGAATCAAAACAAACATTAAATTAGAAAAACGTGCATTACTTTATCTTAAAAAAAAAGATGCTTTGATTAAATGTTTACATAAACTTCTGGGGCATTATATACGGTCAAAAATATCACATTTATTTTATTTTTACACACCATCAATTTAGGATTTGTAACGATGAAGCCAATTTTATTTTATTTTGTGTTTATATTAAGTGTACGACTGCAAAAGTAGTTCTTCTTCGCCTAGTCTTCAGCTATATCATTCAGCGCCTCTTCGATGACTCACGGACAAAGCGATGAACTAAAAAGGGACGTAACTTCCTAGTCTGATACGATGTGGCGCTACAGTACATTTAGTGTTGATAGTTGAGTAGCTAGAATGATCTGATATTCTTAATACATATGTGTACTGTACAAAATCTATCAATAATTACGAAATTTGGAAACTAGGCAGACGTATAAAAATCGTTTAGTCTGTCATAACTAAAAAATACACACATACAAGATAGGGGTAGTTACATTTATCTTGTCTCGTGTTTTACTAGATAATTTTTTTGATATCAGCCAAAGTTTTCTAACGCTATTTTCTTCTTAAAAAAGAGAATATATTAATTTTAAATATCACATTATTTTTTATTAATTTTGCTGCAATATACAATTAGAAATCAAACTAAAATTTCAAAACCTTTCAGAATTTGTAAGTTAATGGAAATATTTTATATCTGGAATCAACTCATATATCTTAATTTATATATTTTATTATCGTGCAACAAAAATAATTCTCTTACAATTATTTCATTGGTTTAATATATTTAATTTATAATGTATTCTTATATTAAATTTTTAATAATACATATACAGTGTGTTTTTATTCTCTTTAATGTTTCAGACATTTTTAAAAGCCACATTTTTTGATGATCAATATCTAAATACAAAATCTTCCTGTACATGTATACATTAAAAAATGTTAATAAAAATATAATTAATGGGCTATATCTATTAAGTGCCAAACAAATTTTTTAATAAAAATGTCTACGTATTATTTTTAACATTTGAATAAATTAAAAAGACTTAAAAGGAAGAAGATAGGTAGTTAATTTAAACCAGAAAAAAAGATACCTATAGGTACAGAAGTTAGACTTAATTAGATATGTGCTATTATATAACTGAATTTTTCTTTGCATAATACGCTTAATACAAAGTTACTGGAACTGGAGCCCGGAATTTTGCTCCCGGTTTGTGCCGGACTGAGTCCGGATGAGCGATGACGTATTATTCGCACAGTTAAAACTACTAAATCTACTTTGCACTTTGCGTTACAATTATATGGAATTCACTGAAAACAGAATAACAATTTACCTTCAAAAAAAAGTGAAAAATAAATTAAATAATAAATTAATTTAATAATAAATTCAAGAAATACAACCTTACACCAATAGGTGTAGTCAATAGTTATTTTTTATGAAAATAATTTTGCCTGACAAATATTTCACGCTGAAAAAAGCAGACAAACAGAAAAATACAACATACACTCAGGATAGGTACACCTCTAATGCGCATTTTAGTAGGTTTTCAATACGCAGCGATGACGTTTCTTTTGCAAATTATTTTTGGCAGTTTAAATTTGTTTTTTTTTTGTTTGCCTCTATAGGGTTCATTTTTATATTATTTTAATATATATATTTTATATTTTATTCATAATTTGCTAATTTTTTGCACAGGTGGTAAAACATCTATAAATTAAGAAATAATGAAAACTATGCCACAAATAAATGACTTCAGATAATAGCTAATTAGTGATGTTCTTATTTTTATTAAGTTTAAGAATATGTTGTGTTTTAATTTTCTATCATAAAATTGTGATTCTCCGACTAAACATAAGAACAAAAGGTCTATATTAAAGTTAGAACGCTAATGCTTGGTTTACGCAAGGCGGTAAATTTTTATAAATTTTTAATTTATTTTATACGTTTCTTGGAAGACATAGGTACCAATGATTTTACTCGCCAGACTTATCAGACTTAAAATCATATTATTTAAGTTTTATTTAAAGATAGCCAAGAATAGACGACAAATAAATTTAATCACGAGTTTAATCATTTTTTAAACTACATGTTGATTAGTAGGTACCATTCAAACAATTAAAAAAATAGTAAAACCTTGTATATTAAAAAACATGGATTTCCTTATATCTTTTAATACACATAGTTAAATATCCACATCAATAAATTACAATTTATTTAAACATTTACGTTCAATATGCAGTTCAGTTTTATAACACCGCCACATCTAAGGTATTTTTAACTTCCAGTGGAGGAAAAAGTTGTCTAAGATTTATTATGTATTCCAGAAATATATTTCAACGATTTATGTTTTTCTGTAATTATTTAATTAAAAATGACATACCAATTATACTATTTTTTCTTTAAATTTAATTATAAAATTAAAGTATTTTAGTAATATCCTGTATAAATAGATAGGTACAACAAAAGAAACATTTTCTTTATTTATAAAATCAGCGTGCAAACTACTTGCAAGCATTGTTTGTTTTCTTTTATATGTACAGGATTTCCCAAAAGTATACCGAGAAAAAAATAAAAAATGATGTGATAGGGAACCCGTAATTATAAAAATAGTGCACAAGCTGTATTAATACTTCGGACTAAAACAATTATTTATGTCACATGTACCAGCGTGCGTGCATATGAAACCCCCCCTTCTCCCATCTCCTCCCTAAGTAATACTTGAATAATTATTTACAATAATTGGCATTTTACAAATTTTAGTCAGCGGTTTCCCCTCGATATAATGGTACAATTCTGTATCACAATTTTTTTTCAAATTTGTTAACGAATTCCATTAAAAAGCATCAAAATTCCGAAGCACCGAAGGATTTGTATCTAATTAAATAGAGAAAAAGTTATTATAATTCATTTAGGTGCAGTTTTTTTATTTAACTTAAAATAAAAATCTACAAAGAATTTCAGAGAAAAAAGTTTTGTTTAAGTTTTGGCACAATATTTGTAGGTATTTTGCGACAAGGCTTTTTGTTCAGATGAACATAAACTATTTTTATTATTACTTTTAAATTTCACAGTATTTATATACCCAGGTATTAGCCAATGCAATTAAAAATTATTTGATATTGGCGATTTTAGTATTTATACCTAATTGCGAGTTTACCTAATTGTATCTTCTATTTTTTTCAAATCGTTGTATCAACTGATATTGCAAAATAAGTACCCTATAACCGTTTCCTTTAGGGTTGCTTTCATATTTTAATTTTTTTCTCTCAAACGGTCAATTTTGTCGATCTCGGAGCAAGAGTTAAGAACATTTGTTAAGATTTTTTAATGATATCAAACAATTAAATTTTTTGGATAATCAGAAATCAAAAGGTTATGACCAATTTAATAGACAATGAGAACCATTTTCCTTTAGGGTCCCATAATTTCAATATATTTTTTTTATAGAAGAAATTTTTGGCAACGAGTTTTGGAGTGTGTGTATCATACCATTATTTTATGAGCAGAATAACCCACTAAATTGTTCGCACATATTTCCGGAATGCCCTGTATATTCATTTATAATTAATTACACATATTATTACTTATTAAATATGTGTAAAACATAATTTATTTAGAAAGTTGTAGGAAAAACAAACTAGTACATTTAATGTAATCTGCATAGGAAAAAATAAACACATAAAAATTAAATTATAATTAGCGTCGGCGTTAAGTTTAACAATAGTTTTTCACAGTTCAGGTAGAATCGCATTTAGTTAGAAGCCTGTTAATAACTGAGGTTGGTATAAGACCACCGTGACTTGAAATCGCATACAATCTTCATTCAAGTCCTCAGTATTATGCTATAAAGGCGGAGTAATGGCTTTGTTATGATACCTGCTCCATTACAAGCTGTTATTTTATTATTCCACTTCGATTCCTGTACATCAATGGCTAATTTTATTAAGTGCTATATGCCCACTGGTCTTTATTCATCAAACGATTCAATAAAAGCGCAATTTTCCATAATCTATCTTGCAAACTGCTCCGCCTCTCACACATCGTACATCAAACAT